CCATCACTGTCACCACCCCAATCCCTGGGGAGGAAGTGAAGGTGGAGGCTGCGGGCCGTGTCTAAGGCCTCCTGAGGCCACTGAAAGACACTCATGGCTTCAGCCTGGGCCCACACGTCCACTTGCCCTGTGGGCACTGCCTTCAGCAGCTCTCAGCCTGACCAAAGCCCTCCCTGAGCTCTGGTTCTGGAAACCCCTGTGCCAGCTGCCTCCAAGGATGGCTGTGCCTGAGGATCAGCTGCCCCTGCGGCCCTGCCTGGTTGTGCTGGCTACCTTGGTCCAGGGAGGGACAGGAGAGAAATGAGCTGCCAGCCTGGGGAAGAAGCTCCCAGGGTCACAAAGGGCGACCCTGGATTCAGGAGAGATTGCAGGGCAGTGCGGCCCTACCTGGGGACTCTAGACAGCAAGGAAGCCAGTCACATTCCTCCCACCTTAAGTCCTTGGGTCCTGGTTGATGCAGGGTCCCCGGGCCCTGGCCCCCACACCTGTACCAGTGTCTGAGGGGCAGCACTGGTACAAGGGTTGGGAGACAGGGCCGCGAGGAAGAAGAGCTGCTGCTTGCATGCCGGCCCACGGCGCTCTGCCTTTTTCTGGGCCGGCAGGGCGGGGGTTCCTGCCAGAGGAAGTGGGGCCGCATCAAAGAGGGCAGGAAGGGGCAGGGGGTGGTGCACCCCGCCCTGGTTTCAGCCTGCATACCTGCCCCACCCTGTCCCAGCAGGGGGACAGAAGCCCACAGAGAGGGGGCAAGAGCCCTGAGATTGAGGGACAAGGGTCCTAAGAAATGGGAATAGTGAAGCAGAGACCAGCGAGGGAGCCACTCAGACCTGGAGAGAGGAAGACACCCAGAGAGGGAGACAGGGACCCAGAGAGGGAGACAGGGACCCAGAGAGAGCGCAGAGAGGTAGACAGACTCAGAAAAAGGAGAGGGAGACAGGGACTCAGAGAGGGAGACCGACCCAGAGAGAGGCAGACAGGGACCCAGAGAGAGACGGCCAGGAGCGAGATCTCAGGCTGCTCTGAGGGAGGCAGGCCCCCTGGGCCACAGGTGTCTCCTTCCCGGGTGGGGTTCCTGTGTTTACAACAACAGCCCAGCTCCCTCACTGGGCCACCCTGCCCTGCAGTCGTTGGGGCGTCTCCTCAGCACCTCATCTTCGGTCAGACTGCTGAGGGGCAGGGTGCAGCCAGCCTGGGCTGGGGACACTGAGCGGCAGGGGCGGGCCGGAGGGGGTGCTGCAAAGGATCTTGGAGCAAGACCCTTCCCCCCCTGCTGGCTCTCTCTCCTGGGGCTGACTGCCCCTGCCTTTTCCAGAAGACTCAATGCCGGGGTCTTGTGTCAAGGGCTGGCTCCCCTCTGCCCCCCGCCTAT